TAATCTGTACTTTAACATGACCTTGATATTGTTTGAAAATGTTTTTCAGTCACACTTTATCACTGCAAAAAATGTTTTCTTGCTTAGTAGTTTTGTCTTGATTTTTAGTATAAACAATTAAAAATTCTTGAATCAGGATGCATTTACCTGACAAGTAAAGTTACTAAATATATGATGTCTTGTTTTCTGAAAATATTATCCAAATTTTGTTCGTTTTTGCCTAAAACAAGCACAAATTTCTGCAAATGGACAAAGAAAAATAATCTTGATTCAAAGGCTAAACAAGATTATTTTTCTTACCCCAGTGGCAGATATTTTTACTCATTTTAAGCAAAAAGTAACAAAAATTGTATAATATTTTCAGAAAACAAGACATAGTATCTTAAGTCATTTTACTTGTCAAGTAAATGCATCCTGATTTTGAAACCTGAATTCAAAGTTCAATACCGTGATGATACCGTGATAAAGGCATTAGTAATGAATGACAACATGAACATGTGTTTTTCCAGGTGACGGACCTGCAGAGCCAGATCGACGGGCTGAGGACGAGGAACGCGGCGCTGGAGCAGCAGCTGGAGGACATGGAGGCGGCGCATCTGGACAAGACGGCCGGTCTGGAGGACATCATCACACAGCTAGAGAGCCAGCTGTGCCAGACCAAGCTGGAGATGGGAAAATACATGGCTGACTACCAGCAGCTGCTCCACATCAAGCTGAAGCTGGACGCTGAGATCGCCACCTACAGGAGGCTGCTGGAAGGAGAGGAGAAGCGGCTCGGGATCTCCGCCGCAGGCAGTGTCGGTGCAATGCAGTACTAATTCTTAATTACTGTCATTTCATTTAAAAAATAAAGTAAGGGATTACTCTTAATTTTTCTGTAATTTAATTACAGTTACTTCTGATGCAATTGCATTAAATACTGCGTAGACTATTCAACTCAAGTTTATTTGTATGGCGCTTTTCACGATTGCAAAGCAGAAAATTACAGTTTCTACATTATATTTAGTTACACTATAGAATAATTCTATTTACAACAACAGTGGATTCAACATCAAAATGTAGCATCTAATATTAAAATGTATGCATTTAATGTAACCTTCTTCCTGTAAATATTTTGGACAGTTCTAGAATACTTTATGCAATTTTATATTATTTATTTGAAAGAATTAAGAGCATTTCGTGTTGTTCAACTAGTCGAGGTTGCATGACAAGTTAAACAATACGAGGATAGACATGACACATTCAAATATAAAATTTGTTACATTTAGAAAGTAATTAGTAATAAGTAATGTAAGAGAGAGTAATTAGTGCGGTACTGTTGAAGGTGTAATTAGTAATTAATTTATTTTTTAAGTAACTTACCCAACACTGCTAGTTACATACGTAATTTAATTACAAAATAAATGCAGTTGTAATCAGTTACAATTACTGAGAATTAAATTACAGTTACTTATGAAAATGTTAACGATTACAAAGAGGGTTTACATCATAAATATTTAATTGATTTCTTTCATAAATTGCACTGACTGCTCTAAAATATGAGACAGCAATGTTTCAGGAGTTTAGGACACATGCTTATTCCATAACTGGTTTATTTCCTATTTGGGTTTATGTATGCTTTATTTTTTAAGATTAACTGTATGTCCAAAGCATTGTTAGATGCCAGTGTTTCCTGTGATAGCTATGCAGAGATTTGATTTCAAAAACAGTATATTTTAAGGTGTCCTTGTTACATATGTTACATTTACTTACTATTATAATAACAATACATAATGCATAATTACATGCAAGTAACCCTAAACCAAACCCTAATAATCCTAACCATATAGTAAGCGCATGTAGTTAATATTACTCTGTACTGAAATGTATATGATACATTATCACAATGTAATGTGATAATCAGTGTAAGGATAACCTTGATGTTTGAAATAGATTAACAGTTGAAAACATTAGAAGTTCAGAAAAGTCATCAAATGTAATTTGAAAAAATAGTTACACTACTAATTACATTTTAGATCGGGCAACTTGTAATCGTTACATGACTTTCAGAAAACACTAGGGGCCTCGTTTATAAAATGTTGCGCAGAATCCATCTTAAATCTGCTCTTATGATCATTTAAATGAGGCCCTAGGTGTCTTACATTTGCCGAGGAAAAACTGGGCATCAGACTCGAACGAACAAAATGATGAGTTCAAGTCGTGTTGGAAAGATTGTATCGAGGAATCAAACACACATGAACTTTACGAGCGGGAATCTGAACTTTCTTTAAGCCCAGCGTTATCTATTATCCATGCAATAGATGCCACATCTGCATTAATGATCAATTTGTTGAAATATTTTTTCCCCATTTACATTAAAACTAGCCAAGCTGCATGCACACAAAAAAAAATAAAAAATTGGGAAATTGAAAGAAAAAAAAATCAAGAACAAGTAATTCGCAATCTTTAATCATTTTGGAGATGTAGAATAAAAAAAATTAAAAAAAATAATAAATTTTTTTTTTCCTAGAAATGGTGCATCACCAACGTGATGAACTCATCTGATATGAACTCATATGAACTTCCTCACTTTGTTGCTAGGAGACGCATGACAAATGGAAACAATGTATCTAAAGTACATTTATCTTCCCTGTACACACTCTCCTTTTCTGTCCTCTCCCTGTGTCTGTTTGCCTCTTTAAGAAGAATCGCTTTATGTATCCCCCAATTGTAAGTCGCTTTGGATAAAAGCGTCTGCTAAATAACTAAATGTAAATGTAAATGTAAAGTGAACGTGAATGCAAGGTTAACCAATGAGATAAAGTGTTACCTTTCGGTCTTTATAATCCTTTTGCACTTTAATCTGTGTGATTTTTTTACGTTATTCATACATAATTATGACTTACCCACTCATAAATAGGAACTTCCCAGGCACCAGAACTTAGCAATGCACTTTTGTTGCTAGGAGACGCTTGACAAATAGAAACAATGTATTCAAAGTCGGTTCAAAATATCAAACTTGTTTAATCTCAGCCTGGTTGGAATCAGTCAAAAGATCATGATTTTTTCGATTCACAGACTTTACACCGACTCCTCATTGACTGTAAATCATGAAGAGTATTCCAGCCGTAGCTCATAGAAGTCTTGTTTTCCCAAGCGGTGACCATCGCCTGAAGACTCCTGGAGATCAACCTCCACTAAACCATGATCTGCTAAACTAGCCGAGTTAACTAGTCTCACCTAAAAGAACCAAATCTCACCAGGCACTAAATAAAGCTTGATTTCAATGCACACTGGTCTCTGTTGTATATTGTGTTGTGCTTTTATCGGAACGGTTTATAAAGCTTCAGTTATTCTGAACTGCTGAAGGATGAAAAATAAACGCTTTTTTCCTCTTTGTGCTCCTTTATTCCTGGAGCTTCTGCATTAATTGGTTCCTGACTAATATTCATTTGGATGAAAACCAAATTTGAGCTGAAATAATGACACTGTTGTGTTCTGTAGAGCTGGTTTACAGCTGAAACCGTTTCATAATTAATGAACACTGATAGTTATTAAACTGTATTAAATCAACATTTTTGCCTCCTCTTCTCCAGTACAGATATCTAAAAAAATATATATTAAAATAAGACACATTTACTTTAGAAGCAAAATGACAAGATATTAAGATATGAAAAAAATTTATCAAAATTAAATGAGATTCAGCTTAAAACAAGAACAAATATCTGCCAACCGGTCAGAAAGACATTTGTTTTCCCTTTGAATTAAGTTAATTTTTACTTTTACTCAGCCCATTGGCAGATATTTGTTCTTGTTTTAAACAAACTCACTTTATTTTGACATTTCTTAATATCTCCGGTCATTTTTATATACTCTACCAGACAAGAGTTTTTGAACAGTCAGATTTGTAATGTTTTTTAAAGAAGTCTCTTCTGCTCATCAAGCCTGCATTTATTTGATCCAAAGTACAGCAAGGACTGTAATATTGTGAAATATTTTTACTGTTTAAAATAACAGTTTTCTATGTGAATATCTGTTAAACTGTACATATTATACTGATTTCTGAAGATCATGTGACACTGAAGACTGGAGTAATGATGCTGAAAATACAGCTGCGCATCACAGAAATACATTACAGTTTAACAGATATTCACATAGAATTTTAAATATTTAAAATTTTTATTTTAAATAGTAAAAATATTTCAAAATTTTACTGTCTTTGCTATACTTTGGATCAAATAAATGCAGGCTTGGTGAGCAGAAGACACTTCTTTAAAATCATTACAAATCTTACTGTTCTTTCTTGATTAAAGAATACAAAATATATATTTTTTTTTTTGCAGTGCAGCAATCGTTTAAAAAAACAAACTGGATTCCATCACATGAAGAGAGTCTCACTGCAAAGCTTTATTTCTCTTAATCTGTCAGATAAAAACCTCTATCATGAGGACAAACGTACAGTTCTCCAGCCGTGACAGAAATCTTCCTCCTCATCACTTCCTGTTCTTCCTCTTGAGGGCCTTCCACTCTCCCTCCTGAGTGGCCAGACTTCCATACAGCTCCTTCACCTTCCTCTTCCTCTCCGCATCCCTGACACACAAACACAACACGATCAGAGCCTGAGGATGAAGCACGGTCACATGCCGCTCCTCCACACACACTGACCTGCTCATGACGTCACTGAGCCATATTATACTGATTTCTGAAGATCATGTGACACTGAAGACTGGAGTAATGATGCTGAAAATACAGCTGCGCATCACAGAAATACATTACAGTTTAACAGATATTCACATAGAATTTTAAATATTTAAAATTTTTATTTTAAATAGTAAAAATATTTCAAAATTTTACTGTCTTTGCTATACTTTGGATCAAATAAATGCAGGCTTGGTGAGCAGAAGACACTTCTTTAAAATCATTACAAATCTTACTGTTCTTTCTTGATTAAAGAATACAAAATATATTTTTTTTTTTTTGCAGTGCAGCAATCGTTTAAAAAAACAAACTGGATTCCATCACATGAAGAGAGTCTCACTGCAAAGCTTTATTTCTCTTAATCTGTCAGATAAAAACCTCTATCATGAGGACAAACGTACAGTTCTCCAGCCGTGACAGAAATCTTCCTCCTCATCACTTCCTGTTCTTCCTCTTGAGGGCCTTCCACTCTCCCTCCTGAGTGGCCAGACTTCCATACAGCTCCTTCACCTTCCTCTTCCTCTCCGCATCCCTGACACACAAACACAACACGATCAGAGCCTGAGGATGAAGCACGGTCACATGCCGCTCCTCCACACACACTGACCTGCTCATGACGTCACTGAGCTTCTCCCGAGCCAGGAAGCGTGTGTCCTTCCGGATCTCCCTCAGCGCTCCCTTAAACTCACGCTTGTATTTGTGCTGGAGCCGCTCGCGCTCCTTCTCCTCCTTCGTGTTCCCTCGCTTTTTACCGTAATCCAGACTGCAGGAGAATCCAGAGCCGTGATGCGTTTGGGAAATTACAAAATATATATATTAGCACATTAAAAGATATATCTTATATTGCAATAATACATTATCAATGTTGAAAACAATTGTGCGGCGGAAATGGTGATGCACTTTATTTTTCAGGATTTTTTGATAAATAGAAAGTTTAATGAACAGCATTTATTTGATGATTTATTTGCATTTATCAAATATATTAATTAAATTTGTTAATGCATTTATTAAATAGAAATCATTTTAAATATCTTCACTCACTTTTTATCACTTTCATGCATCATGAATAAAATTATTAATTATTAATTTCTCTCTTCTTTTTTAAATCTTATAGAAATGTTTGAGTGGTATCAGTGTTCCCACACAAATATTAAGCAGCAAAACTGTTTTTTAGGACAATATTTGGCCGAGATACAACTATTTGAAAATCTGGAATCTGAGGGTGCAAAAAAATCTAAATATTGAGAAAATCATCTTTAAAGTTGTTCAAATTAAGTTCTTAGCAATGCATATTACTAATCAAAAATTAAGTTTTGATATATTTACAGTAGGAAATTCACAAGATATCTTCATGGAACATGATCTTTACTTAATATCCTAATGATTTTTGGCATAAAAGAAAAATGTATAATTTTGACCCATACAATGTATTGTTGGCTATTGCTACAAATATACCCCAGCGACTTAACACTGCTTTTGTGCTCCAGAGACACATTTATAGTGCTGTATTTGTCTAGGACAGAGCTGTGTCAGAATGAAATGATTCTAGTTCATGTTTCACTCACATCTGCACTATTTTCGGTGTGAAGAGCTTCAGCGGGATGGGTTTCTTCTTCTTGAACACCAGAGGTGCATGCTGGGAAGGCTGCTCAGGAATGGCGTCTAAGATCTCTCTGTGAAGATCCTGCACACAAACACATCCGAATGAATCGTAACGCGCTGATGATTGTGAATGTGATGGTAATTCAGATGCTGAACCTGGATAGGGGCGGGGGAACCCTCGACAGGAAGATGCTGGAGAAGCAGCGTTCTGATTGGTTGGAAGATGTGAGCGAATGACGGCAGGTCTTTATAGAGCGACGTGCATCTCTTCACCAGATCCAGACAGGAATCGATGAGCGACAGCCTGAAACACAAACACAGCAGATGCAGAAGAGAGGAAATCACTGGCCATGCGTGTTTATTATTATAGAACACCTGCTAACACTTATAGTGCATTACATAAGTATTTTAATGCATGAATTATGCCTTGTAATAAGTGCATCATATGATCTCATGAATAATTGTAACCACAGTCATAATAAATCTATTCATTTTTACACCTTTAGAAAGTGTAATGCATTAAAAAACATGACAAATTACATATTTCAGACATTTTTATTATGCATTATAACATAAATTATGAATACCTATAACAATGCAGTTTACATTAAGGCTTCAAGAAAACTTTTGCCAAACATTTCATACACGAGTGTGATTTAAAGTGCTTTACATAGAAGTTATTAAAAAGACATAAAAGGTGCATCAGAAATAAAAATAACAAAGCAATGGGGATTTAACATGTATTAAAAAGAATGAAACAACAGAAATACAAAGATCAATCAATAATGTAATCAGTAACTGGTGTGTGTGTGTATAAGTGTGTGTGTGTGTGTGTGTGTGTGTGAGGGTGAGGGTGTATAAGTGTTTGTGTGTGTGTGTGAGTGTGTGTGTGAGTGTGTGTAAGTGTGCGTGTGAGAGTGTGTGTGTGCGTGTGTGTGTGCGTGCATGCATGTGAGTGCGTGTGTGTGCGTGAGAGAGTGCGTGTGTGTGTGGGGGGGGAGCGTGTGTGTGTGTGCGCATGTGTGCGTGTCTGCGTGTGAGAGTATGTGTGTGTGTGTGTGTGTCTGTGTGTGCGTGTGAGAGTGTGTGTGTGTGTGTGTGTGCG